AGGCGATCAGCCCCTTTGCCCCAGTCTCAGAACTCCTGAGAGTTGTGGGGAAAGGCTCTGGATTGGGCAAGGAAAGAAAACACAGAGAAGAATGTCACTCTGCTGCTCAGAAGCCTCTCTTCGTTTCCTTTATTATTTAGAGCGCGTCCAATGTGGGAGTCAGGGAGTCATGCAAGATTTGCCCCTCTTGTAGCCTAATGAGGAATCCGCGAGATGCATTCCACTTTACAGATGAAGAAACAGAGATCCGGAAGCTAGGTGACCCGCTGGAGTCATGTTGCCAGACAGTAACAGAGCATAAAACTGCCAGGCCCCCAAATTTCAGCTTAAACACTAGCTCAGCATGTTGACCTGCCAACCCTGATTATCTCCTTCCTCTCTTTCCCACCAGGTATTAGATTTAATTAAATTAGCAGATCCCCATCGCAACAAGCCTGGCCATGCAGCCTGGCCAGAACCCAGCCAGGGCAGCTACTCCCTCTAAATTCTGCTTCTCGATATAATTCAATCTTCAATAAGTCACAGATCGCATGTGAAGTGTTTTATACAAAGCATGGTGTGTTGGCTAGAACCAAGGCTGACGGTGGCTCGCGATGATTTCATTTTCCGTATAACTTCCTCTGCTTTTCCTCCGTGGCATCACTTCGCCCTCTCCATACTCTGATCTGCATTTTGTTTGATCCAGACACTTGGCTTCACATGCCGTCACCTCCAGCAATTGCATCACACGTTTATATATATCTTACAGCATCACAGTCCTTATGCCACACAGCATAGGAAAAAGGAAAACTTATAACAGCATTTCTCACCTTCCTTGAACTAATTTAGAAAATGTGCTCTAAATTAAATAAATCAGGAACAAAAGTCTGAAATTGGAGATAGAATTTCGGGGGGGGCACTAAATAAATAACAAGGAAATCTTGCAACATGTTGGAAGCCTATAAATTTTATAGGTTGTGTCTTTAATAAAAACAAATTCAATTGCTAACAACACAGTATTATTAAGCCGCTAACATTTAAAAATCTAATTTGGCCTGCTCTGCTGCTGTTTATGTTGCATTCACCCAGGGTAAGGAAGTCAGGTTGATGGGTTTGGTTTGGTTTCTGAATCAGGCTAATACAGCCCCCTTTAAAACCCAGTCTTTTTGCTTTCTAGGCATGCCTTGGTCCCTAATGAGTTACAGTCCCAGGTTGAAGATGGACATGGCAGACAGAAATTTAACACACACTCTGGTGCACCCATAAACATCAAGGCTGAGGGAGAGGAGGTATGTTTCCAGTTAAGTTAAAACTCCATGAATTCAAGATTCTCCACTCACAAGACAGTAATTCTCCTTATTTCATCACTAACTTACTTCAAATGTGTTTATACAATTTATTGCTACTGAACTTCCAGGCAACTGGTGTAGAGTTAATGAAACCCAGCTTGGAGAAGCTTTGGGCTTTGAACAACTAACCACAGTTTAAATGGTTATGACATGCGGTCAAAGCCACAGCCCAGCCCCACTGCAGTTTCTGTGTTAGGACCTAGTCAAAAACCTTGTCCTCTCACCTTTTGTGCCAAATAGATTGAAAAAGAGGAAAGCGCTGAAAAATAGCCTTCCATGTTTCTTCTCAAGGTTCCCAGCCTTTCTCCCTGACATTTTAACACATCTGTCTTACTAAATGCAGGGCAAAGCTCCTCCCCCCAGGCTCCAAGTAAATATTTTAGTTGCAGTTTGAATTGGCAGCCCGTTGAAATCCTGAAATCCAGTTTGAGTTTAATTGAACAGGGTCAGGCCTACATAAAGCAGTGTTGAGACAGGGGGTAAGGGAGGAGGTATCCCGCAGCACTCCAAGTCTGACTCAGTGCAAGTCCAAAAGGCAGTTTCAGAAGGCACAGGTGACACACTGGACCGGAAAAGTAAACTCGTCTTTCTGAATTACTTGGACATTGATTTTTTTTTTTTTATTAATCCTCATTGTCACATGGCATCCTCCCCCAGGCTCTGTCCATGTGGGAACTCCAGGAGGCTCCCTCTTTTTAAACAGGCCCATTTTGGAAGAGTAAAGGGGAGGTACAGGCTTTGCCACTGCCGCACAATAAAAGCCCCTTTTGAAAGCAGCACTTTCATTAACTTAAAGCAATCTATAGACTTAAAAGCATGGAGCAGTAAACTCCCAGAAAGGATCATAAAACAGCCAGTCTCAAGTTGGGTACACTTCAGTGCAATTTGCACGAGGCATTTTACTGTGAGCGGTGGCCGGGCCCATCTCCCTCCAGTAACCCCCTGCCCCTTATTCGGAGCAGCTTCTCTTTCTCTGGGCTTTCATGCCTTTCGCGCTCACAAAGGGGAGGCGGTGACTGGGGAGTCTCCGTGGGGTCACGGCTCCCTCCCGCCCTCCGGCTCCCGGCGGGAGAGCTCTCGAATTCCAAGCCTGCAGAAAAACAGCCTTGGAGCTTGGCCGCCGGGCAGTCTCGAGGCCCGAGGCCGCTGCGGCCACTCGTGGGTCGCGCGTCTTCTGAGTCCCGGAAGCGCGGTCCGGGTGCCCGAGCGAGGGGGGCCGGGGCTGCGGGGGGCCGGGCCGTGGGCTCCGGATTGCAAAAACAAAAAAAAGAAAAGAAAAGAAAAAGAAAAAAAAAAAAAGAATTTTCAAGTCTTCCTCTCGTCCAGCCCCTTACACGCTTTGCTTCCCTGGCTGGCCAGAGGGATAATAACCTCCCACCCGGGTCGGGACTTCTCTCCCACCAACGAGCTAGGCCTGAGCCGTGGGAGGGGAAAATGCGGTTGCGGGGTGCAGCTCGAGTGGGAGATCGCGAGCGCAGAGACAGGAGGCCCCCTTCCCTTCCCCTAAGACCCCGAGGCCCCTGGGGGGGGGGGCGGATCGGCAGGGCGAGCGAGAGGGCTAGGGGCTAGGGGCTAGGCTTTGCGTAATAGATGTTTGAACACCATCATTTGCTCGGCTTGGGGAGCGGAGGGTCACCCAGATCTGCCTCAGATGTGAAGCTTTTGGCTCCCACCCGCTGGAGAGCACTCGGAATCCGAAAAGTCAACACGCTGGCGAAGTCCCGAGACCAAGTGGGGTGGGGGTAGAGGACCCAGAGCGCCCCCGTTTCGCAGGCTGGACACGCGGGCGGCCGGCGGCCGGGCTCCCCGGCAGCGCCCGCGGGTGGAGGGCCGGCGGACTCGGAGCCCTTCCTGCCCCGGCCGCAGCCCGGCCTCCCCGCGCGATGCGGCAGCTCGCAGCCGGGCCCCCGCGCAGGCCGCGGTCCCTGCGGGCCGCCCGCGCCGCCCGCACCGCCCGCGCCGCCCGCCGCGCTGCGCCCGCGGCCCCCCGAGGGCCTTCCGGAGCCCGCGGAGCCGCCAGGCTCGGTCCTCCGACCCACTCCGAGCCCTGCGGCGCTGCCCCGCCGCTTCGACCCAGAACGTCCCTTGGATGTGTCCGCTTCCCCGAATCCTGCTCCCGGGACCGGGCCCTGCGCGCCTCAAGTCCTCGGCTCCAGACCCGCTCTCTCCCCCGGGAGCAGCAGCCGACCTTCGGGGCTCGCCGGCCACGGCCCCGGGGCAACTACTTTCGTCGCCTGCCTAAACGCCCTCCCGCCCACGGAGCGAGGGGACCCGCTCGCGCGACCCTCCCCAAATTCCGATGGCCTCGATCCCAAAGAAAAGCCGCGATCCCGGGGCAAAATACTAGGGACGCCACCCGTCGCGCCGAGTCCAGCCTCAGGTGCAACCTCGGGCCCGCAGCTCCGACCTGAGCCCCCTGCTCGGGCCGGGCCGGGGGTGCAGACTCAGCAGCCCTTCAGTCCCGCTTCCGCACAGCCTGACTCCCGCCACCCGAAGTCCGGCGTGGCCCTGAATCCGGGCTGCTGCGCCCCCCGCCCCCCGCCCCCGCCCCCCGCCGTTCCCAGCCCGCGTCCCCCGCGCTCGGGAACCTCGGCTCCCTCGCCCAGAGCCCCCGAAGGACCGCCCGCCTCCCTCGTCGCCGCCTCGGGCGCGGGAGTCCGGAGAGCCCCGCTCGCCCAACCCCAAAGAAACGCAAACTTTGCGCGGCCGACTCGGGACTCCGCTCCAGCCCCCTCCGCGCCCGGCTCTTGGGCGCTTCCCGTCCCCCCTTCGACTGACTCGCGTCCCAGTTCTCAAGCCAGGAGGGCTCCCTCCTCCCCGACCTCGCCCTGGGCGCCGGCGCCTCCCCGACCTCGCCGCAGACCCCGCGGAACCGCTGGTCCTGGGGCGAGGCCCCCAGCCCCGTCCCCGCCCGCCCGCCCGCACAGCCCGCTCGGCCCGGCTCGCCGGGCGGGGAGGGACGCGGCCGCGGCTCCTGCGCTCCGGCCGCCCGCAGGCAGCTCCGGGCCGGGGGCGCCGAGCGAGCGCCGGCCCAGAGCGCGCCCGGGGCCGGCCCCCGGTTCCCACCGCGCCCGCGGGGCGCCCGGCCCGGCCCCGGCTGCTGCACCCGGCCCGGCCCGCGCCGGTCCCTACTCCCGGGCCCCCCGGCTCTCCCCGCCCGCGCGCTACGGCGTCTCGGGCCGCGGACAATGCGCGCCCGGCCGCGGGCCCGAGCGGGGCGAGGCGAGGCGAGGCGAGGCGGCGGCGGCGGGGGCGGCGGGGGCGGCGGCGGGGGCGGCGGCGGGGCTGCGCGCGGGCCGGGCCGCGGCTCGGGCCGGGGCTCGGGCGGGGCGGGCCGCGCCGCTCCGGCCGCCTCCTTCCCGGCCTCGGCGCCGCTCGCGCTGCTCCGCTCCGCGCTCTCCCGGCGCTTCCCCAGCTTCTCTGCACGCTCCCGCCGTCCCTCTCTGCTCGCTGCCTCCCTCCTCCCTGCTGCCTCCCTCTCTCCTCCCTGCTGCCTCCCTCTCTCCCTCTCTCCTCCTTGCCCTGTCGCAATGAATAATACTCTGGCTTGGGGACTGGAATAAAACACACGCGCTGAGGCAGCCGCCCGCAGCAGCAGCAGCCGCCGCCGCGCCGCCGCCGCCGCCGCCGCCTGCAAAAGCGTCTCTGACATGGAAATGAATGACAGCTTACCTGATGCCAATCTTCATCAGACTGACACCGGCGTGACAACACAGCCTATACTTCCCAGCACTGCTCGGGACGTCAGCGGCACCGGGACCCGCCCCCGGAGCCCCCCCCCCCCCCCCCGCCGCACACACCTCCCCTCGCCCCACTCCCGCTCGCTCCCCACCCCCCGCGCCCCCACCCACTCCGGGCCCGGCGCTCCCAGGCCCGCGCCGCAGCTGGAGTGTCTCCCTCTGCTGGAGGCTTCCCGGAGACGGCGGCGCGGGCCCGCTCCTGCCGGCGGGAGGCGGAGCGGCGCTGCGGAGGCGGAGGCGGAGGCGGCCGCGGACGGCGAGCCCGCCGCTGACCCGGGCGCGCCGAGGCCCCCTCGGAACCGGGCCGGGCCGCGCCCCCCACCCCACCCCACCCCGCCCCGCCCCGCCCCGCGCCCTCCGCAAACACGGCCTCCTGGGCTCCGCGGCTGGCGAGGCGGGGGCTTTCCGTGCACCCCGAGACAACTCCCCCGAAATCAGGAAACTTAAAGCTGGCGAGGGAGCCTCCCCTCCGCCACCACTCCTTCCCCCCACCCCCCACCCTATTCCTGCCTGATGGCCTCATTTTTATGATTGCATTTGAATAATTCTCATTACCCTGGCCCCAGAAAAGGTGCTCGGATGACACTCTGGTTAGTTATTCCTATTCTCAAGAGCTTTTTCTGCTCTGGGCTTCCCGGGGCGTTCGGCTCACCGAGGGGGAGACTGTAATGGGGTGGGGCAGAGGGAGAGATAAAAGGGTGTAGAGGCTTTGTCAGTAAATCACCTCTTTGCAAATGCCTGGCAAGCCTGTTCTAAGCCACTGCTATTTTCATTCTAAAAAGTACCGGAGTTCTGGGGGTCCGGGTGGTGTAATATAAAGGGAGCGACCAGCTGGGCTGTTTCAGCCCGGGCCTGCTAGGGTGGCTTCCATCCACTTCAAGGAAGAAATCCGAATTGGCGCCCGGCCCTCTAAGAAGACCAGTGCAAGGATTTATGGTCATACATGTATGTGCTTTCTTTCATTCCGCAAAGATTACAGTCCTACTAAGTGCCAGGCGTAGGCACCCAGCCACCTACAGATGCAGGACTTAGCACATGGCCCTCTGCATAAAGGGGCCCCCTTGACATTTGCTCCTTGCTGCCCTTAGAGGAGCTGGTTCAGCCACCATCAGGCAGCGATTGATCCTCTGACCCCAGAGCAGGCAGGGGGCCTGGATAAAGCCTAGACAAAGACAGTGATGTAAGCAAGGGAAGCAGAAAGTGAAACCCAAGCAGGCCAGGTTTTCAGTAAAGAATCCGACCCAAGAAGTTGAAGGCTGCCCCATCAGTCTTTGCAGGCCTCTGGGTCACTCCTCATCTGCCTCCATCGTGGGCAAGGACGAGAGCTATTAGCGTTCCATGGCTCGGAAGAGGCAGTTGAGACCTGTTCTGCCTCATGTCCCAGATACACTAAATACTGCTTGTCCAGGTCTTCCCAGTCCCTCCCCAAATTCAACCTCCAAAGTTGCTTGTGGAAGAAAGTCTTCACCCAGAGCCCCCTTTATGGATGGAGTTGAATCCTCTCACCTTCACGTAGAACCTCCAAAGACTTCGCTAGGTGGATTTATGTCACCCCAGCCTCTGATCTGTGGTCAGAGACTCTGGCTGCTGACAGCATAATCGCTATTATATATTATACATTGTATAATAATATAATAATAATGAATGCACTTGCCCTTTTTATGTAGTACAGAAGCGGCCAGATTCTCCAACCCAGAGGCTGGAGGTCAGGCTGCCATAAACTCTCAGAGGGAAGCCCTCTTCAGATATGGGAGGGGGAGGGGAGATCCATTTGCCCCCCCCCGCCCGGTGCCCCTGGAGGGAAGGCTCTCTCTCTCTTTCTCAGGGCTCATAGTGAGTTGCTGTAGCCTGTAGAGTCAGAGGGGAGAATCAGGCTGAATGTAAATACTTAACCCCATCAGAGAGGTGTCAGTGAGCCATAAATAGTACTGCAGGCAACAGCCATGCATCACCGATTCACACTTGTCACACCCCTCATTTTCTGAGATCTAGTTCTGTGCCCAACTCTTTCTTGATACAGGAGATCCATTGCCATGAGCTGTTAATTTTTGGAGTCTTTTAAAGTACCGTGATTTCTACTAATACCCTTTTGATGCCTTAAACTGCACATTGTAATTTAAAATAAATGTATCTTGCTTTAACTACATTTGTAATTTGCAAAAGCTTAAAAAATGATTACCTAAATGTAACCATCCCTCCAAAATCATTCAAAGCAAATATTTGTCCTGTACCCACTGGAAGGAAGCTCAGCTGTGTGCCCAAGCTAAGGAGAAAGAGCAGAAGCAAAGAAATTCAAGTTAAAGTTCCTGTCCTCGAGGAGCTTTCATTCTAGTTGAGAAGGCAGAGCACCACTATATAAAGCATTAAACGATAATAATAATATAAGAATCCAACAGACAACACAAGCTAGTAAATATCTACTGAACACATGAATCGCCAATATGTCAAATTCCAGGAGTTCCATATCTAAATGTTGGCTCTGTCAGCGAGCAGAGAAGGGACAGAGTGGAAATTAAATCTGTAGAATTCACTTTACATACTCTACAGTCTCTCCCAAATCATCCTTCTGAGGATGAAGAAGAGGATGGAGCGGGACACACATGTCTTGTAAGTCACTAACACATCAACATTATGACCAAACAGGAGTCCCTACCCATCCCAGCCATCACTCTTAAACACCGGAGTTCCTACGGTATGGTTCTGGGCCCTTTTCTCACTCTTGTCTGCACGTGATTCGTCTTTAGGATAAGCAATTCACACCAGCCCAGATTAACAGATTGTCTCCTAAGAGCTGTGGATATGTATAATCAATGGCCTGAGTCCTGTCATTATCAGCCTGTGAATAAAATTTAAGCTTATCTGTTTGCATCTGCTCAGGCCACCATAACAAAGTACCACAGGGCCAGTGGCCCAAACAACACTTATTTTTCCATAGTTCTGGAGACTAGGAGTCCAAGATCAAGGTACCAGCAGAATTGGTTCCTGGTGAGACCTCTCTTCCTGGCGTACAGATGGCACCTTCTTGCTGTGTCCTTACATGGCCTTCCTCTGTGTGCACCAGAGGGAGAGAGAGATTTCTGATGTCTTTCTCTTCTTATAAGCACGCCATTCGTATTGGATTAGAGAACCCCTTCTTAGGACTTGTGTTACCTCCTTAAAGCCCCTATCTCCAAATACAGTCACACTGGGAGTTAGAGCTTCACCACAGTTGAAGCTCTAACTGTGTGAACTTAGGGGAGGACATAATTCAGTCCGTAACACTGTCCACATACCAGTTCCCTCTATTCTCAATTATTTTTTTGATGAATCTCGATTGTGAATTCTTTTAAGGATGGGGACAATACCTACTTCATCTTAGAATCCTTAGAACCTTGATAAAGTGCTTAGTCCTGAAAACATTAAAGAAATACTTATCAAATTGAATTGTATGGAACTTATTTCTCCATCATTGCCCCAGCCCAGCTGAGGGACTTACCACCAGTCACCTGGAATATGATTATTTTGATGATTTCCTAATTGCTCTAATGCCACCAGTATCCCCAATACTTCCTACACGCTATCACCAGAGTGTTCTTCCTAAAACAATTTTTCCCCTCAGGAAACCACTGTCTATAAGATTTAGCCTCAAATGTTTATTGGACTTTATGATAAAAAGAAGGGACTTGAAAGCCACCTTCCTTAGCATGGCATTCAAGTTCTACTTCCTCATCTGGCCCTGGTCTACCTTTCAGTTAATCTCCTGCATCCCCACCTACGCCTCCCCATCACCACCTTCCATGGTTCCCAGGGTTAGCCCACAGACTTCCTGCATAGGTTCCTTGTGGAACTTCTTTATAGTTCTGGGTTCCTGGTTGAATCCTGGAGAAAGTTCATCTGGATAAGGGCCTAGGAATCTGTTTTAAAAGCTGCTGCATGAGGAGAATGAGAAGACAAGCTGCAGAATAGGAAAAAATACTTGTAAAAGACACATCTGATAAAGGCCTGTTATCCAAGAAATATAGAGAACACTTAAAATTCAACATTAAATAAATGAACAACCCAATAAAAACAGGGAAAAGATCTGAACAGACAACTCACCAAAGATATAGAGATGGCAAGTAAGCATATGAAGAGATGCTCAGCATTATTTGTCATTAGGGAATTGCAAATTGAAACAATAAGGTATCACTAACACCTATTAGAATGACCAACATCCAAAACTCCAACAACACCAAATGTTGATGAAGATGTGGAGCAACAGGATGTCTCACTCACTGCTGGTGGGAAGACACAATGATATGGCTACTTTGGAAGACACTGTAGCAGTTACTTAAAAAACTTAATATACTTTTACCATATGATCCAGCAATTGTACTCCTTGGTATTTACCCAAATTTAAAACTCATGTCCACATAAAAACCTGCACACAGATGCTTAGAGCAGCTTTATTCATAATTACCAAATCTTGGAAGCAACCAAGATATCCTTCAGTAGGTGAATGGGATAAATAAACAACGGTACATCCAGACAATGGAATATTATTTAGTACTAAAAAGAAATGAGCTAAAAACTATGAGAAGACACAGTAGAACTTTATTTTTTTTTTTCATAGTGGAACTTTAAATGTATATCACTCAGTGAAAGAAGTCAATCTGAAAAGGCTGTATAATGTATGACCAACTATGTGACATTCCATAAAAAGCAAAATTACAGAAATAGTAAAAGGATCAGTGGCTGCCATGGTCGTGGAGCAGGGGAGGGGTAAAATGGCAGAGCACAGCAGGTTTTTAAGGCAGCAAGATACTCTGTATGATACTATAATGGTGGATATGTGTCCTTAGACATTTGTCCAAATCTGGAGGATATACAGCGCCAAGAGTGAACTCTTCTGTAAACTGTGAACTATGGGTAATGATGTGCCAATAAAGGCTTGTCCGTTATAACAAATATTCCACACTGGTGGGGTATGTTGATGGTAGTGGGAGAGGCTGTGGATGGTGGTGGGGAACGGGGGGCAGGAAGTA